AGATTGAAATTATCAGTGTCATATATCCAGTTGGTTATATGAACAGAACAGAACAGAAATTGTATTAAGACTTGTACAAAGTACGTCATCTACAATACATTATATTCACATATATTTTAGCTGCATGAAAACTTACAAACAAAATCTGGATATCACATTTTACGTATTCAATAGTTTCATAATAAAATATAAGTAGATAAACTAATAAACAAACAATCAACATGCATATAGCTATGAAAAAAGATGTGCATTTACTGTATACTTTTATAAATAAATAAGATTAATTATAAATATATGCATAATACGTATTGATGCATGGAGGTGTCAATTAAAATTAATTCTCTTAAAATCGCTATTCGTGAAAGTTAACATTATGCACTAAAACACGAAACATACTGTTTGAAGTGTTCGTCATTCCATATATCAGTTTATTGACAAATATGGGTATTAATAATTCTTGTAAACAAGCACATTATTTATCGCCTAAATATTTTACCACCTGATAAATCTCTTATTAGCATAATAGCGTCGCGCTCTGTGGATGTATATAGATACTGGAAAAGGCAAACCTTTTTGTTTTTAGTGTTACATAACGGATATTTCGGTTAATTGCACAAATGACAGACACCTTTCATTATGAGAGAAAGAAAAAATGTGTGTTACGTGATGTTTTAAACATATTTGTGCGTATTCATTTGATTGTAAATGAAGAAATTCAATTTGAGTACTATGCAAAATGAACTGAAGTAAGGATTTTGATTCAACATTTTGTCAGTAATGTAGTTCTGTCAAATAATATACTCCCCGGTCGGCGAGCAAACGTAATTGAATTACAAATGTAACGCAAACATTGCACCATACACCGCTTGTCATGGAATGACACTACAGTGTCACATTGAAGGTTCAATGATTACCGCCGTATGAACACATCTGCGCATGTTTCTAAATTCAAAATTTCACCATTTTCGTGTTAAATGTTGAATTGTGCTTAAGCCTGTGCTAATATTAATGACAATTTGATTTTTAGATTTTCTTAATACAGATATCAATATTTAATTCAATAACATCGTTGCATGACTTTTATACTTTCCAATAACAGTTTTACGTCTGATCAAGATTTATTTGTCTTGATAGGATGTAGGTGTTTTGTATAATTCTAATAATTAAACACGTCAACGTCAACATGCAACATTATTGTTTGAATACTTAATGCAAAATAGTGCACAAAAGGTAAACATATGACTTTGTTCTCTGTAGATTTTAACTTTCATGATCATAATAAGGTACATTTTTTTTCGGAGAAAAAGTAACATCCTCGGGGAAATAGTTTTCCTAGTGGCAGAGAAATTATTTATGTCCCTTTAACCGGTTAAGAACACTTGTCATGTTTTGACTGAAAAAAAGAACAACGAAAAACATATTAAAAAAATCAAAGGTTTTCATTTCAAACTTAAAATTTTAATCAAGCACAAAGAATAGCTGAACGTATTTACTCGGACAGGTCTTGTTTTAGGGAAGGAACGATAAAGCAAGTATTAAACATTATTTTACTGAAAGAAACGGTGCTCATACTTTCTTTGTAATTGATCACGACATCTTTTCTATGGCCGTTCGCACTTATTCTGGCATGTTGTTTCCTTGCGAAAGTGAAGACACTAGGACTTCTTATATGCTTGACAGTCTTTTCATGAACGATGTGGTGGCTGAACTGTGTTCTGGTGAATTCAAAGTGGCTAACTGCCGTGATCCGAAGGGTAAACTTATACCACCACCCCAGGTTCCTGTAAATGAACCAGGAAACGATTTAAATTATTTATATAGCTTAAAAAAGAAAATGATTCAATTCTGCCAATAGCATGACAATAAATATTTTGTCATTAAAAGTTTTAATTAAGAATTTAATTTAGTTTTTTTTCAAAGAATTTCTTGTTATCATAAAAACTTATTTATCAAATGTTTGAGTTTGCTTTTTCTTCCACAACGTAGTATTTTTATCATAAATCAAACTGGCAATAACTACGGAGGATGGACGTACGTGACAATTATCCACGATCCTAGAAATATGTTACAAGTTAGACATATATGGATGTGTTCTGTCCTCTGGCTAGTTAAGTAGAACGTAAACATACCGATTAATGGCGATATTTGATAGGTATCATTTAAAAAAAATTCACCATCCAAGAATCTTGAAAATTTCTATTTCCTTATGCAGTAAAACTGATATAGAGAACTTACAATTAAAGAAAAGCGAGTTATCAAACATATTGTAATCATTAATCTAAATATTTACGCTGGAATCTTGTTATAAAGTGACAGTATGCTCAATTATCCTTGTCAAGTTGAGCTGAATTAATCATATTTTTTAAAAGATGTACAATTATAATGGTGATTGATAGATAAAAAAATGGATAAAATGTAAAAAAATCCTAATTAAAAATAAATATCTATCCCACTCATTTTATAAATTGAACTATTTTGATATTTTACATTGGTTGAATATTAATGTGAAGTAAACTAAAGTTATTTTGACTTTAAGTTGCACTCTCATCATTTGCACTGTCATGGGCATAATATCAATTAAATCAAAATGATGACTTGTGACTATATAAACAATACAAAATATGAATCTATTTTGAAATTTTTACTGTATCCGCATCATTTGCTCTTTGATGAGCATAATATCACTGATACATTGTGAATATAAAAAATAAAGGTCAGTCAACTATGATGTGTTTTCTGTTATTCACATAGGCAACACCGCTTTGTTATCGTGCGATGGACATATGGACCTTTTATACATTCATAAGCAATTTTCTTTAATTACAAAAATATCTGACAAGAATGTTCATAGCTCCACTAAGCTTTTTTAAGATCTTGTATCGTACTGTATCGGGGGTTTTTCATTAATAAACAGTTTAATAATGTTTATATATTTATTCTATCAAGAATAAAACCTTTAATAAAATAAAACTACAATAAGACATCACATTACAAAATAAATATTTGACAAGACAAATACATTTCACAAACTACATAATACAATATATTCCACAACAATTCAAATTACAATAAAAACAATTTCACAAATAAATGAATACATATATACATACCAGACTTGATAGAAGAGATTCTTGAAAATAAATAAATTAAATACAATATACAATTAAGCAAGTATTTCTATTAACTAATTTTGATATTTTCACTTCGAACGCGAGACAAGGAGTGTCAGTTTCTAAGAAAATGTTACATTCCAGAACCAAATCATCTAAAAATTACTTGCATACAAAAATCAATCATCTATCACTCAACTTGCAAAACCAGTTCAGGTAGGAGTCACGTGATCGTTCAGTAAAAATGGACGTACAATTCAAATTCTAACAAAAAGAAATTCATTTTTTGTGATTTTAAAGGATATATATGTAATAAAAATATTAGTCTTTAGCACGGATTTATAGTGAAACATTTCAAGTATGATTTAGTATGGGTGGATCAAGAAATAAAAAAGGAAAGAGAGGAATAGCAGTGATAATGACAATTTAACTGATGGAAATAGAAAACTGTTTAAACAAAGAGGCCCGTCAAGTGATTCAGATAATAATGTGTCAGTTAGTGACTTGTTAAATCAGACTAATGCAGTTTTATAGAATGTTGATAGCAATAATGTTTTTGAGATAAATTCAGAACCTGAGAATATTGTGTTCAAAAATATGGCGGCAAACAGTGAGCCAACAAATAAGGATTTAATGAATTGCCTTCAGAATATAAGTTCAAGGCTTGGTTGTGTCGAGAAAAAACTCAGTGCTATCGATAAATTAGAGAAGCGGGTAGGGGAGTTTGAGAAGGAATTAAAGAGTATATGGCTTGCGATGGAGGAAAGGGCAAAGAAAACTGAGGACACAGTTATGAGTCTAGAGGACAAATTGGAAAACGCTGATATAGGGTCAGCTTTGCTAGCCAGCAAAGTGGACGACTTATCACAAGCTCGAGAAAATATACAGGAAGAGGTAGCGTATCTAAAATCGCAGTCTATGCGAAATAATCTGATTTTCACTAATGTCCCAGAAGATTTTAGTAAAGAAAACGAGACAGAGCAAAAACTTAGACACCATTTACACACTTCTCTGAAAATTGCAAAAGACATGACAGACAGTATTCGATTTGAAAGAGTACACAGATCTCCAGGGCATCAAATTCAAGGTAAATGCGAACTACTGTTGCCAAGTTCACTTTTTTCAAGGATCGTGAGTTTGTTCGTCGGCAGTGGAAAAATCTTAACGGTACGAGATTCAGTATGTATGAACAATTTCCACAAGAAATCATCGCCAAACGCCGGAAGTTAGTGCCGAAGATGAAGGAGGCCAGAGACAAGGATAAAAAAGCTTGGATTGCGTACGATACTTTGTACATTGATGGACGTCCAATTAGGGACTAGGGTTATGAAGGAAAGGAACTTTCTATTATTTCATGAAATGTGCACGGGCTCACGAACGATAAAAAGTCTTGTTCAAACTTTTTAGATATTATTACTAATAGTGACATTTGTTTTCTGTATGAAACATGGACCAATTCCTTAAGCAATATTACTCTTAACGGTTATGTTTCGCATCATTACTATAGAAAATTTCAAAACAGGAATGCTCGAAGATGTAGCGGTGGTTTAGTTTTGTATTACAAAGAACATTTATCCCCTGGTATTCAAATTGTTAAAAATTATCACGATACTATTATTTGGTTAAAATTAGACCGCACATTTTTTAACAATGAAGAAGATATATATTTATGTGGAGTCTATATTTGGTGTGAAGATTCGCCTGTATACAACGTTCTCAATGTTGATTTATCCGAAACGTTAGAAAATGATGTTTTTATTTATGAAAATCTAGGAGTTGTGTATCTTTTAGGTGACTTTAATAGCAGAGTGGGGAGCAAAAGTGATTGTATTGTTTATGATAAAGTTAACTTATTTACAGATGACATATATTATGACCCCGAAAACACCCCTTTTCCGCCCTTAGCCGGTGGAACGACAACGACAACGAAATTTTGCTTAATCTCATTTATCGTAAAAACTGAAACATATAAAGAAAAACACATATTCAAATTTACAGAATAACAATACATACTTGGATTATAGCCTAATGCTGACCAAGTTGCTTTAATAACCAACAAAGGGAAGTAATCCAAAATCCTGCAGTTATAGATGCTTTAATAATCTGCAGTTACAATCTAATCATGAACATGTTAAAGTAGTTAAAATGAAACAATGACAAATCCTTATAAATGATTTAAGATATAATACTGACTAGTAAAAACAAATCCTAATAAATGACTTAAGATATAATACTGACTAGTAAAAACAATATATGGTAGATTAACAATGACTAAGTAGACAAAAAGATACATATATATAAATGTTTGATAAACCTACGTCGTGAACACTCGAGGGTGACGTTACAACATTTCTGCATTCATTATTCACTACCCATCACTGTAAAATACAATTTACCCTAATAAGTACAAGGAAAATATATGTGATAAAGATTTCTTTAGTAAGCACAATCTTCAACTTTTACTTAATATAAACATGTATGTAGTGTGATAAAAGAACTTCTTTCAAATAACACTAAGGTCAAGTTAAAAGTGGAAGATGAATAGAAACTTAAAAACAACTTGTTACTAAAGTAAGTTAACCATTACATCATAAATTCACAAAATTACAAATTTGTAACGAACAAATGTGAGTACGAAACTACTGAACAAATTAAGCGTTTTACTCCTAAAAGCCTATATTACAAAAGTTTAGTTTACAAAAAGATTATTTAATGCAAAATAAGCAAACATAATATCAACTTACACAATATGGATAGGAATAAACAAAGAAATGACTTGGTTTAATAAAACAGCATGCGTTTCTGGCATATACAGTAAGCACAATATATAGAATCAATTTAGGCAAAAGATATAAAACCACCGAAAAGGTTACAAAAACACAGTTCACCCTGAACTCCACACTCCCCCCACTGTGATCCCATCACACACTTCACTTATATAGATGAATGTTGTTCATAACACTTAACGCATGACAATGGTGTCTTGATTATTTACACTGTGTTCATTCCACAAGGACAACCATCTCTGTCACTGGGCGTGTAAATTTAGTACATTTTCCGAATTTACATACTCGAATTTCAGCTTTTCTCACTAACTTATCACCGTCACTTTTGATAGCATTGGTCACAATTCCAACCGGCCATTCATTCCTTGGCACCTGTTTGTCTTTAAGGAGTACAACATCACCATTTTTAACACAAATTTGCTGCGTCTGCCATTTTCTCCTAGGTTGAAGCGTTTGTAGGAAACTGTCTCGCCACTGTTTCCAAAACATGTCCGAGAGCACTTGAACCATCTTCCACTGTTTCTTGTACAAATCACGAATATCCAAATCGAAACACATAGACGAATCACCATTGATTTTCTGGTTCAAAAGTGTAGCTGGAGATAGTATAACTGGACAATCTGCGTCACTTGAGATAGGGGCAATTGGTCTAGAGTTCATAACAGCAACAACCTCAGCCATGAGAGTAACTAAAACTTCGTGTGATAGATTTTTAGCATGAACCCCTAGTAGTATGCCGTCTAGAATTCTGCGAGCGATACCAATCATCCTTTCCCACACTCCTCCCATATGTGAGGAATGGGGTGCATTGAATTTCCATGTAACATGTGAATCACGTAAATAATCAGTCATTTTGTTATCTTCAACATTGATCACTTTGAATTTGAGCTCTTCTGCAGCTCCAACAAAATTTGTCCCTCTGTCAGATCTAACGTTGAGAAAAATTTAAAGTAAAACCCATCTAAACTAACCCATTAAGGGCCACAATATTTGGGCATGCGCAGAACAGATTATTCCCCCGCATGACCAGGTCATGGAATAACTAGTAAACAAAAGGGTATGTTAGTAATTAAAGACCTTAGTCAACAATATTTGCCTGAGAGTGGTTTTGTTGTTATTTACTTTGAAATAGAAAGTGTGTGTTGAATTCAGACCGGATGATTTTTTAGTCGAAACAAAAAAAAGCCTTATTTCACAGGAATAAATTTTGTTCGGTAAACTTATTGTCCGGTAAATATGTAGGACCACAGTACAGGTATATATGATTTACCTACATGTTATCCCGCATACATATGCATGTACATTACATTTTCTACAATGGTAAACTGTAATTGATTAGAATTGTATCACCTGGGCAATTGCAAATGTGCCAATAGGGCAAATTAGAATTTATCATTTGCACAAAAAGTTTCATATCAATTGTGCCACAAATCATAAAGGTCAAACCAATAATTGTGATTTCAATTATTGCACCACTGTAATTGCAATTGGTACAAATGATGATGTAAATGGTGGTGCAAAAGTTAACTGTTTTGGTGCAGATCAATGGTATGTGACAGCAGTGCATTTAAAATGCCATTTGGCACAAATGAATTAGCCTTATCACCTGTAATTAAATACTTAACAGTAAATTAACATTGTAAAATCATATTGACTCCTGTGTGTGAAATATTTATGATAAGTTATTTGAGCAAACAAATGTATCTGTAATGAATGTATGAATTTCTCAGATTACCTGAGTGGAGTGACCAGGTAAAAAAGTAGGGAAGACATTACCCCGGTAGTCATCATGTCCAGATGCATTTAAATTTACTTCTGTTTTTACATTAGTGAATGAAAGTCATAATTGTATGATTTACTTAAAGATAAATTGCATACTAAATTTGCCAAAATTATGAATTCTAATTAAAGCTTAATTGAAATGAAACATTTAAAATAACATTGTTTTTCATTCTTTCCAATGTTTGCAAAATCCCATAAGAACATGACTTACAAAAAATGCTATAGTATGTTTTTAAGTATTTATAGTTCATATCTATGAAGACCATTGACTTAACACAAGGCCTTTTTAACCTCTTACAGACTTAAGTGATTATTATAACAAAGTAACATGACAATGTGGAACCAAATTGTGGTTCGAATTGCTTTCTAAACCAATATTCCCCTATGTCAGAGATAAACTGTGAGTGATGCAGATTTCACTAATAAATCCCATTGAATAAAATTTAACAACAGATTTAATTCTTTCAATTATTCCCCTTAGATAACTTTTGGAACTTTGGTTGAGCTGATCCTACCAGTATGTAAGTGACAATGACAGACTTTCAAATGTCTGCATTTATAAATGTGAAAACAATGTAACTGACATTTTACAAAAAAGATGTATATTATAAGAAAAACAACTCTTTAGAACCAAAACCACATTAATTGAGGTATAAATAGTTGAAAAAATAGTCTTGAGTAACTGCACTTACACACCTTTCACATTCAATTTTTTAAACATTTTAATTTTTTTTAGCGTGAAACTGTTCTAAGTGACGTTTATTATAATATTTTTATCTGTGATGAATGAATCTGAAAATCAAAACAAAGAAGTAGTGAAAAAATTGATTTGCAAATATAATTGTAGTATTTAGTTAAAATATTTAGTAATACTAAATTTAAACAGTTATCTCCTTCTCCTGTAAAATGTTTGAAAATGCACTTACACTAGTTTCGCTTTCAGCCCTCGACATGTTAACATGGAAAAACTAGTTTTTAGGTGATTCCAAAGTTTTTCATCATTTTTTGTTAACCCTTTACAACATATATACGCGAAACAACGCACTTTCGACCCCCCACTTTTTTAGGCCTCAAATAGTGAAAAAATGTCCTATTTAGGCCCGAAACATAAGTCTTCGTTTGAGAAATGTTGCTTAAAAAATGAGCACTTTTTCGGCGCCGCCCCCCATCAAAAAGATACATCAGGGGGTGCCAGAAGGGGGATGTGCCCCCTTCAGTTAGGGGGGTTTGAAGGGGGCGGAGTCCCCCTCATCGCCAAGAAAATTTTGGACTTGCGAGAGGCTAAAAATGACCCCATGTCGATCATAATGTAACGTTAACCAACGCTGAAAAGCCTTTGACTCTATCTCAATCCCTTGAGCAGTTGCAGCACTTTGAAATAAATTTTGATTGAAAAAATCGAGGCAAAATAGTGGTTTTTGGCAAGTTTGAGATGTCCCCTCGTTGCCATGGTAACAGGAAATTTAAGACTGAGCATGTCTTTACAAAGGCAATGGTCCAGTCAACATTTGTGCCAAGTTTGATTAGTATTGAAGCATTTTTCATAGTTTCATAGCAGTTTGAACTTGTAACAGGAGGCTTTTCAGTTAAAACGGCCATTTTTCACAATATGCTCATGGGGGAAAGGGTTAACTAAAAAAATTATAAATGTTACAAAACAACAATTTTACACCTAAATTAGGTGAAAGAACACATGTTAACATGGAAAAACTAGTTTTTAGGTGATTCCAAAGTTTTTCATCATTTTTTGTTAACTAAAAAAATTATAAATGTTACAAAACAACAAATTTTACAACAAAATTAGATGAAAGAGCACATGTTAACATGGAAAAACTAGTTTTTAGGTGATTCCAAAGTTTTTCATCTTTTTTTGTTAACCCTTTACCACATATATACGCGAAACAACGCACTTTCGACCCTCCCCCCCCCCATTTTTTTAGGCCTCAAATGGTGAAAAAATAACCTATTTGCGCCCCAAACATAAGTTTTCTTTTGAGAAATGTTGCTAAAAAGATTGAGCACTTTTTCGGCGCCGCCCCCATCCAAAAGATACTTCAGGGGGTTGCCAGAAGGGGGATGTGCCCCCTTCTGTTAGGGGGGTTTGAAGGGGCCGGAGTCCCCCTCATCGCCAAGAAAATTTTGGACTTGTGAGAGGCTAAAAATGACCCCATGTCGATCATAATGTAACGTTTAACCAACGCTGAAAAGCCTTTGACTCTATCTCAATCCCTTGAGCAGTTGCAGCACTTTGAAATAAATTTTGATGGAAAAAATCGAGGCAAAATAGTGATTTTGGCAATTTTGAGATGTCCCCTCGTTGCCATGGTAACAGGAAATTTAAGACTGAGCATGTCTTTACAAAGGCAATGGTCCAGTCAACATTTGTGCCAAGTTTGATTAGTATTGAAGCATTTTTCATAGTTTCATAGCAGTTTGAACTTGTAACAGGAGGCTTTTCAGTGAAAACGGCCATTTTTCACAATATGCTCATGGGGGAAAGGGTTAACTAAAAAAATTATAAATGTTACAAAACAACAATTTTTCACCAAAATTAGGTGAAAGACCACATGTTAACATGGAAAAACTAGTTTTTAGGTGATTCCAAAGTTTTTCATCATTTTTTGTTAACTAAAAAAATTATAAATGTTACAAAACAACAATTTTTCACCAAAATTAGGTGAAAGACCACATGTTAACATGGAAAAACTAGTTTTTAGGTGATTCCAAAGTTTTTCATCATTTTTTGTTAACTAAAAAAATTATAAATGTTACAAAACAACAATTTTTCACCAAAATTAGGTGAAAGACCACATGTTAACATGGAAAAACTAGTTTTTAGGTAATTCCAAAGTGTTTCATCATTTTTTGTTAACTAAAAAAAATTATAAATGTTACAAAACAACAATTTTACACCAAAATTAGGTGAAAGAGCACATGTTTACATGTAAAAACTAGTTTTTAGGTAATTCAAAAGTTTTTCATCATTTTTTGTTAACTAAAAAAATTATAAATCTTACAAAACAACAATTTTACACCAAAATTAGGTGAAAGAGCACATGTTAACATGGAAAAACTAGTTTTTAGGTGATTCCAAAGTTTTTCATCATTTTTTGTTAACTAAAAAAATTATAAATGTTACAAAACAACAATTTTACACCAAAATTAGGTGAAAGAGCACATGTTAACATGGAAAAACTAGTTTTTAGGTGATTCCAAAGTTTTTCAACATTTTTTGTTAACCCTTTACCACATATATACGCGAAACAACGCACTTTCGACCCCCCCTTTTTTTAGGCCTCAAATAGTGAAAAAATGTCCTATTTGGGCCCGAAACATAAGTTTTTCGTTTGAGAAATGTTGCTAAAAAAATTGAGGACTTTTTTGGCGCTGCCCCCCATCCAAAAGATACATCAGGGGGTTGCCAGAAGGGGATGTACCCCCTTCATTTAGGGGGGTTTGAAGGGGGGCGAAGTCCCCCTCATCGCCAAGAAAATTTTGGACTTGTGAGAGGCAAAAAATAACCCAAGGTCAATCATAATGTAACGTTAAACCAACGCTGAAAAGCCTTTGACTCTATGTCAATCCCTTGAGCAGTTGCAGCACTTTGAAATAAATTTTGATGGAAAAAATCGAGGCAAAATAGTGATTTTTGGCAATTTTCAGATGTCCCCTCGTTGCCATGGTAACAGGAAATTTAAGACTGAGCATGCCTTTACAAAGGCAATGGTGCAGTCAACATTTGTGCCAAGTTTGATAATATTATTGAAGAATTTTTCATAGTTTCATAGCAGTTTGAACTTGTAACAGGAGGCTTTTCAGTGAAAACGGCCATTTTTCACAATTTGTTCATGGGGGAAAGGGTTAACTAAAAACATTTTAAATGTTACAAAACAACAATTTTACACAAAAATTAGGTGAAAGAGCACATGTTAACATGGAAAAACTAGTTTTTAGGTGATTCCAAAGTTTTTCATCATTTTTTGTTAACCCTTTACCACATATATACGCGAAACAACGCACTTTCGACCCCCCCCCCATTTTTTTTGGCCGCAAATGGTGAAAAAATGTCCTATTTGGGCCCATAATATAAGTTTTCTTTTGAGAAATGTTGCTTAAAAAAATTGAGCACTTTTTCGGCGCCGCC